CTTTACAACCTTTACTGCCTGTAGTACCTTTAATTACTGTCTAAAATTGCTTAGGATCTCTGAAAATTTAACAGGTGAAAGGATTGCCCGACCATTTTGAAAAGTTGTTATACCTGTTATGTATAGAACAAGGGAGAAAACTGCTCTGCCTTTAATAATTCACAAAAAAGGGTAATAAAAACTGTATTATTTAATAATCAGCATTCCAGCCTGTCACCAGCTGATATTTGTGAAAATGATGTCCAGGCTATTCAAATTTAACAAAAACATCAACAGCTGACTAAGGAATCCTGTTAAAGGACTGTCACAAACACAAATAACCTACTGAGGATAACAGAATGAGTTTTCAAAGCAACTTGAATTGTACTGGGAAAAAAAGCCACTTGAAATTTTGAGCCAGATTTAACTAACTAGAAGAGATAAGAAACATATAGACCTCTTTTAGAAAAAGCATGCTAAAGGTCAATAGTATGTTACTCAATCAACAAAACATAGGATAACTAGTGTTGCTGCTAAAAGAATAAATTTACATTTTCAATATTTTTAAATGTGAACTAGATTTTTGTTTAAGAAGATTGCAAATTCAAATTGATCACCAACAAAAAATTTTCATGTTATGCAATTAAACTTTTTATTGTCTTTCCTGAGGTTACATTGGCTATGAAAGCCCCAATCTAAGAAGAAGCCAACCAGGTGATAGGAACCTCTTTTTATTCTATTAGGGTGATGACAGTTTTTTTTTTTTAGCTTCACGTATAGTCATAACAAACTTTCACATTAGCAAAAACTCACATGTAAACAGAAAGTTAGTGACAATCAAAATTTACCTAAGTACTTATCTCATCTTCTACTGCAATCTCAAATTAAAAGATTTAAATAAATATCCAATTTGCCAAAGTGTGTCTGTCCTTTGTTTAGTACTGTGTGCTAGAAATGTGCTGTTTATTTCAAAGAGCTGTTACATAACCCAAAGTTTTTCGGCCATGTCATAAAATTTAAGTACACACTGCTCAGAAGCCTTTATACACTGATCTCAATTTGAAAACAAAACAACAGTACCAAAACATTGAAACCATAAAACAATGGAATAAATAAACACAATATCCTGCAGGTATGTGATGCAGCTCTTGTGCGGTAGGGTCATCCTTCAACTGAGTAAATACATAAACCTGATGGTGTCCATTACAAGATCTTTAATTGTATCAAAAATTGGCCAAAAAGTGGTGAGAACTATTTCCTATTTATTATATCCTTGTTTTGAGAGTGTAGAACATCTAGTGGTTACAAAAATTTCTTTTTTTTTGGTTAGCAATGTAAGTAAAAAAAAAAAAAAAAAACCCAATTCCTCCTAATTGAGGTCCTAACTAAGGCCAGTGAGGTTTGCTAGGAAAGCTTCAAGTGAAGATACCTACAGATTTGCATTGCATGATAAAAAGCTTACATGTGTTGCACACTGAAGGAATCCAACACTTTCAGCTGCCATGTTTTCACAATTCTGCTTTCGTATATTTTTCACTAGTTCATAAAATATGGAGATCGAACAATTAATTGCAAACAACAACAGTTGTGGACAGCTGGTGAATGGGAACTTTATAGCCCTTCCAAACAACTTGTCTAAAACAATGAAAAAATTTCCGCTTGTCTTGAACCTACGTAAATCCTACGTCAACATACAGCTAGACAGGAACAATATAGCATAGGAAATTCCCTAAAATGAAAATGAAGACAAATGAAATGTCGCCTTAAACTTCGTGTTTGCCCCTCAATAACACGGTCTAAAATGATTATATCGCAAATTTCCCCGCTTAATCTATCAGCTTAACGGAGCTATAATCAGAGATATACCTGAAGATCGAACAAGTCGTTATGCTTCATATATTTCGTAGTTACAATTAATGGTTTCTGTGTCAATAAACGGCGCGGGAGATTTAGTGAAGCATATATATACTACGCTATAGACAGCCGAAATATTTCTTTATTAAAATGAGCCTGAAGTAAATTGAACTTATAAACTTATGAGCTTGTATTTTTTATCTTTAAAAATGAACCTTAGTGAAAAAATAAACGGTTTCCAACGTTTCAACGGAAGGGAGTTTTATGAAACAAAGCGGAATAATTTAATCTCAGCTTCGGGCCAACACTAATGACGTAGCGTGAGTAAAAACACGCTTTTGCCCACTAAATTAACTTGAAACAAAGAAAATGAAAGTATAAAGTCTAGTCTGTAAGAAAATCAGATTCTCATACATGAAAAACCGTAAAAATAATTTCGAGACTAGAAGCGTAATGATTTAAACCTGACAGCTGTTGAGCAGAGAAGTTGGGCTTCTTTGTAACAGGCTTTAGAATGTGGTTGCATGGTTGTTAAATGTACCATAATGCAAAAGCATTATTCAAAAATTACAAATTCTTACCATGTTTTGCGCAAATCTGTTTTGTTTCCAACGACGAGGATTGGAGTGGAGGGCATGTAATGCTTCAATTCAGGCACCCAGACGGTAGAGACGTTTTGGAAAGAGCTAGGATTCGAGATGTCGAAAAACACGAGAAATACATCAGTCTCCTCGTATTCCATGGGTCGAAATTTTAGGTAATCAGCTCCACAAATTGTGTCCCAGAAAGTTAGCACATAGCTTACTCGGTCCACAGTCATGTTCGTGAAGAAAGGATCTTGCACAGAAGGTAAAACCCGTTCCCGTCCTGGAAATAACGGTATATCATCTTCCGAAGGAAAGTTCTCTTTGTACCAACGAATGAGAAAGGAGGTCTTTCCAACTCCGCCGTCCCCTACTACTTTAACTTTCAACCGACGCATACTTTACCCTCTCGTTACAATTTAAGAACAAACAGGCTACTGTTAGAGGAAAAGTTCCGCGAAGGACGTTTCCACCACGAAGCCGTATAATGCAAAATACAGGTGAAGAAATCTTTACAAATGTTCTTTTGAAGAGAGCTACCCATTTCAGATTCAGGCTTCCTCGACCAGTAAGAATTCAGCCAATCAACGACGTTGTTCTATTTCCTACAGTAAACCTTCTGTTCTTCGATAATCACTTCTCAACACGCATAAACAAAAGATCACGAAATAATAGGACGAAATGAAAACAAAAGCCCACGGATATTTAGTCCGTTGCCTCTCCTAGTCCCTGAAGCTATCAGGTTCAAAATGTTATTTGAACTATATCATGTCAAGTCATGTAGCAAAAGTGGCGGTAAAACTGTAAATAATTTCGTTTCCAACCCACATTCGCGTACTCCGAGTGCTTTTTTCCATTAAGTAAGAGCAAAAAAAATAATGGACCATTGTTTTGTATTATTGGGAAAAATTATCGAAAACAATTTCACAAATTTCATGGAAATGGCTTTTAAAGCGGAAATTCAATTCAGTTCTACTTTTTCCGCAAATGTAAAAGAGCCCATTGATGTTTTTGTATTGTCTGTAGATATACTTCTCTTCACGCACATAAGAGACAACGAAAAAAATAACTTCAAAGGATTATAAACATTCTAGAACTGCTCTTTTTTGCCATCGTTGTCGTTAAACTTATCAACCGACCCTTTGAATTTGTTTAATTCATCCATGTTGCTTGGGGAGAGCCTGAGACCACTGCCAGCTGCTATACTCAATACAGGTGCAAGTGATTTCGCAATACTTGAGTAAAAACTTTTTTAAAAACATCTCTTTAATTCCAACATTACTCTGAAGAGACGCATTTATGAGACTTGATGTAACTTATATGTCGCAACCGTAATTAGTAAAAGAAATCATCACTTTAATTCCAACATGCCTCAAGAGATGCATTTATGAGACGTGGTGTAACTAATATGTCGCAACCGAAAGAAGTAAAGAATTCATTGGTGGGAATGGTTGGGGCGGAACACGAGGTTCACCCATAGGAGGGGGGAAACGAACGGGAACGGGAGGTAAGGGGGGGGTTCGTTTTAGAACTGTATTCGGATCATGTGTCTCCCGAGAAAAGACGAACAAGTAAGTTCGAAAAGTAAGTTTTAAAAGCAACCACTTTTCTATTACGGCTGAACGTTTCAGTTCTTTAATGTTAATCAGAGCGACAGGATGGGAAAACCCGGAACAGCTGGGGGCCATGGAAACGGATATGAAGACTGTTCTTATTTTTTCATACAGAGGGGAGGCAAGTGCGACAAATTCAGGACAGCCAGAAGGGAAGGGAGGTCATCAGAAGAACCTGCGTACAAAGAGGATTTAGATGTCTGAGTTTTTTGTTCCGTTTTATATTCAGATAAATGCTTTTGATGGGCTCCAGTTGTTGCCAGAAACTTGTAAATTAGGCTTTTTTCAGGTATCTTTAAAAAAACATAAAGCGTGAAAATTCTTCAATAGCATACTGCTGGGAAAATTTTCCACATACCTTTACAAAGAGGAGGGGGAAAGGTAGCTCCAAAAAGGGTCCACTCCGCAGGTAAAAGGCTCGGAATGTTTTTTTTTTTAAATCGTACCAGCTTGCTCTTTGGGGTTATCATTTGTCCTGTTTGCATTTATTCCTCTTGAAAAGTCCTCGATGACAACAACACCTAGATTTTAGCTTCCTCAGGTAAGCAACCTTTCTGATGGCAGTGTGAATGACTTCATAAACTTGGTCTCTTGTTAATGAACTGTTCTCAACATATGACGTATATATGATGCAGTTTAGCTAGTTGCCAGGCTTCTTCACAAGACACTGTGCTCAGTTTGTGTCCTTGTTCTGTCAATTTCCCGTCAATACGGGGATACGCACCAAACGGTTTTTTTCTGATCATTGTGGAGCAAGTATTTGTACATCTGATCACAATTTCTTATTAAAATAAACAATTAAATTTTAGATCTACAGCTTTCTAGGAAGTAAAGTCAGGTTTTGCTGAAAGTAGAAACCTGGGAAATCCTAGTTTCTTTAATAGCTGTTGTCCACTTACTTCTGAAGTTGTGTTAAAAGATACTTCAGGCTACATATTGATGCCTTGCGGACCCAGCTACTAGTCCAGAACTGAATGATAAGAGACTGGGTTCGATTTACTTCTTGAGATCCATGTTGTTTCCGGCCAACACGTTTAGTACAAAGTGCATGAAGTGGTGAATTTCTGGAATCTATGTCTGTTTGATTCTATCAAACGAAAAGCGATTTGTAACGTCGAAGTATAACATAAAAACATCAGTGTTTGGGTACAAAAGGGGTCGAATGCGATTATATTCTTCGCCGCTGGAGCTGCCGATGACAAGGAAGTCCACTTGGTAAGTCTTCCCTTCCACTGTCACACTATCAACAAAGTCGAACACTGGAACTAAATTTTCGAACGGAAATAAACCGGAGTAACAAAGGTGTTTTTCCAACCGCAGAATCTCCGAGGAAGACAATCTTATAGGTGGTTTTTCGTGCTCCATTGCTGCCAGAATTGCTTCGCTATCAGGAATTTCACTGTTTCACTCGTGACGTCAACTATTGGGTAAGATTGCATGTTGCGTGACAACACTAAACCGTTTCAGATTTCACGCACGTTCGACAACAGAACAACTGGAGATAAAACATCTTTACTCTCTCAAACCCTCAGTTGCAACCAGATGTAGTCCATTGAAGACTTTCGTTTTCCTTTTCAGAGAAGGTAGTCCAAGAGAGCTTAGGGTATATTTTTGATTCCGTCAGCATTCTTACAGCATTACATTTTAAATCGGTTACGGAGTTTTTCTTCTCTTCCAGATCATGGCCACTGAGTGGACTCCTTTGGCTTGTTTGTCATCTTGCATGCAAAGAAATAAAGGTACGGTTCTCAAACTTAGTACCAGGAGGACAATCTGCCTTTTTTTGAAAGGAAGTGTGGAATTGCAAATTGTTATGTACTTTTGATTGTTTGATTGATTGCTGACTGAATGATTGATAAGATTCAATTGGTAATTGAAGGATTAACTATGAGATGGACTTAATAACCAATTGATTGATTGATAACAATATTTCAATTTTTTCCAGCAGATAAGGAATTGAAAGTTGCCCTTATTGTAATAAATATGCCATTAGGTGGTATGTTTGACAAGTTCAAGAAATTGTGCAATATTGGTGAGTGACATGTAAACTTTCTGGTGATCAAAAGTTCTATCAATTTCAGTTTGAACATTGAAGTATTTTTAAGAGAGTCAGAGATAAATATTGTGATCAATAACATTACATAAGAACATTAATGAATGAAATTTACTTTTAGCCAAGGCCATTTTAAATTGTTCAATTCCATGATAGCTCGCTGTCGAATTGTTCATCAGACCTCTAAAATTTTTTGATCAAGTTTTTCAGTTGTCATCTTTGGTAATCTTTTCCATCCTTATAACTTGATGCATGCTCTCCAATGTTTTTATTTTTTATTTCTGTATTTGTTAAAGAACTTATATATTTAAAAAATTTTCCTACTTAGTTCAAAGTTTTTTTGATCAATTATTTTTTTATGATGAGGTAGGCTCAAAAATATATTTATTGTCATTCTGCAGCAAGTGTTAAGAGTTACACTGATGGAGGCAGCAGCCAAGTTTTCAACATAGTTGGTGAGGAGCAAGAAAAGTGAGTTTACATGTAACTTGTATGAGCCTAAGAGACATCTCTGTCATTCTTCACCAGAGACCTAGAAACCAAAACTTAGAAAATCATGAACACTTTGATTTAATTCCTAGAGGTTGATTGTGTACTAAACAATCATAATGGCATTAAACACACACAAGAAAATCTCAAAATCATGAATAGTTACTGTTTATGTTTATTTGTTCTCACACTCAATTGGCTTTTTCCTTGGAACAGAATGACATTCCTAAGGGTTATGGTGTTCACCAGGCTTTCAAGGTGTCACAGTAAGCTAATACTAAATTTCTGCTGCCCTCTGTTATGTGATTTACACTAGATATCTGCCAGACTATATCAGTGGTGATTTTGACTCAGTTGATCCTGACATTTTAAACTTTTACAAGGGAAAGGTAGGATGTGAATCTGCAGTAAACCTTTCTTGTGCTCTTTATTAACTAGGTGAGTTTTATCCTGGCTTATGGCCATGGGCAGACAAAATTAAATGTAAAATCTGCGGAACACTTTTCATTAGCACTCCACTCTTACATTTTTTGCAGGGCGTGGAGATAATCCCTACCCCAGACCAGAATGAAACAGACTTAACAAAGTGTCTTAGAATTTTAATAAGCAACAAAAGCATCAGTGAGGTACAATGTAAACTATTTAATTTGTTTACTTTTGACATAAAACAGGTTTCTGAACCTAATAACCTTTCCTGTTTTAGCATCTAGTCTAAAAAAAAGGCCACGTTATTTCTCAGAAATTTCAAGGTAAACCAGCCAACAACCATTTAGTGAATTCTTAAAGAGAGGTTTTTTCTACTTGCTGGCTCCTTTCAGCAGCTTCAGCCCCTGCCCAACCCACCCTGAGGATTTTTTCACACTGTCTAATATATTGGAATGTGTTTTTTTTAGTTTGATCAGATTGTTGTTATGAATGCATTTGGTGGACGTCTTGACCACACTATGGCTAACATAGAAACCATGTTTCACATCACAAAGCTGACAAACAAACCCCTTTATCTGATGTCCGAGGACTCAGTTGCTTGTCTTCTCATGCCGGTAAATACGGGTACCTCGGATTTTAACTTAATTTTCTGCCCCCTTCCCCC